TTTATTAACAGCACGGAAGGGCAACCTAGAGCATTTCTGTAAAGAAGCAAAATATGGAACCTTAAGACTCCACAGCATCTGTCTACTAGAATTTGACCTTAATCTAACTTAGACCTATCTCTGCTCTTGGAATTCTACTACTGACTAGAATCATATCTGATCTCTACTTCCTACACTACTGCAGACAAGCTAGAATGAGGTCAGACTTAGCAATGGACAAGAAAACAGTTGAGCACAACAGTATGTAAAAATGAATGTAAGAATGACATGGAAGTATTTTAGACAGTACCAGACACATCGTGTAAGGAATGTTTTGAAAGAGTCAATTAAGGTATTAGAAAATAAATGTAAAAGAGGAGAAGTAAAAATCTACAAGTTAGACACAAAATGTAATCATGAGATCAAGTGAATTTCAATTTCATACCATTACCCTAATTCTAAAACAAGATGGAAGGGCTTCTACATTGAGCTTAAGAACTAAAGCAGTTACCAAGTCTATCAGAAAGATTCTTCTCTAACTTCTCCCATGATGACGTCTGGGACCCTAGAGTTGCTTGCAAATTTTCTATCTGTCGAAGCAACGGTCTTGTTGTTGATGAAACACTTTGACTCAGTTCTTGGTTTCGATTCTCTGCTTCCTGGAGTCTCTGAATCATGACATTCTTAAGTCATTACTACTGACAGCAGTAAAAACACTAAAAATGCTAGCAAAGAAACTTTATGAGAGATTTCTGGGAAAAACTACTTCTTCAAGATAAAATGATTGTTTATTAAATTATTTTCTAACTATTCAATCCTTAAGTTACAGTTAAGTTGCGCAACAGAGTAACTAAATAAGTGCTTCTTTACAGAGCATTTCTAAGATAAAGACAGCCTTTGAATACCTTAAGATAATAAAGAGTATCATCCAAACCTCCCAGTAGTTGCCTCCTCATCCAAATATTTCTAAGTATTTATAAAAACAGAAAGATCAATCTGAGGGGCATTTTCTCCCCCTTTTCCTGTACATGTTCATTGACTGAAATTAACAGAGCAGTAGCATAAAAACTAGGCATTGCTCATCTGCCCCACAGTAATCAGAGACTGATAATAATTAATAAATCGGCCACTACAAATGAAAAAACAACACTGAATATACTACATGTCTATCATGATAAAATTATTTTCTAGAAAACAAAATTAGGGCTTTTCTTATACATTTTTAAGGTGCCCACTCTGGTTTTATTCACATAAGCCACAAAAATACAGCAAATGATAAGTATGGGAGAAATCTTCTCAACTCTAAGAACATTATCCCACTGAGTCATTTTGTATTTCTTGAAAAACGCATCTCAGATTTGTGTTTAGGGAAACTCTGACAGTACCTGCTGGAGTTCACTGATCTCATGACGTAAATAATCCTCTTTTCTGGCAGCTGCTTGTTCTGCACGTTGCAGTGCCAGCCTAAGGTCCCCCACCTGTATTAGGAGAACCAACAACACTATCACAACCAATATCACAATATTATCTATAACTTCCTGCTAACTACATATTTTGTCTTGTGTTGACTTACTGTCCATGTATAATACCCTTCACCATCCAATGAGCTTTTACGTATGATTACCACATCCCATTCTTCAGGCAATCCCCGAGCTATATGTATTCAATATGTACTTAGGAAAGCTTGATAAGGCGCGCACACACACACACACACACAAAGCATGTAAGTGTGTACAAGGCCCAGCCACTGCCATACAATATAGGAGGAAAGACAATGCATCCATAAACGTTCGCAGTGTAATGCAGAATGTGATAGGAGCTATATGAGCTATAAGAACTAGCTGCTATATTCATACACAGCTGCACAGGTTGTAAACTGCTACAGCCTTTTTGGAAAGCGTTATGGCAACATAATCATCAAACTTCTTACATTCTTTCATCTGATCGTCCTAGTCCTGAGAATTTATTCTATGGAAGCAGATCTGTAAACATACAAAGATGTTCTCTACACTGTGAGCTAGACTAACAAAAACAAACGAAACAAGAAATATTGTTAATATCTATTAGCAGTCATTTATTTTTGTAAATGTGGATACATTAATATATCCAATAAAAATTAAAATGAACATAAAAAACATGTAGAAATGTACAACTTAATCTTAAATGAAAAAACTATAAAATTATATATATATATATATATATATATATCAATTATGAAAAATATGTACATGAAGATAAGGACAAGAAGTTAATACACAAAACTGGCAGGACTTGTAAAAGGTGATGATTTTTTGAATGGTAACCCCATATACTCTCTATCTCCCATTCCCCCAATTTTTTGTTACTACGTTCGAGTACTTTTAATTTAAAATATTAATATTTTTATCTATCCCAGTGAGGGAGTGGCAGAAGCACAAGGACCATGGTGTAATTTACAACAGCAAAACATCGGAAACAACCCAAACATCCATTAATAGGAACTGACTGAATGGTATATTCACACAATGATATACTATAGAACTATAAAAAGGAATTTTTTAAAAAGCTCTATGCTCTACCATGGAATGATCACCAGGATGTTTTATTAGGTAAGTAAAGCAAGCTGTAAAACAGTATCAATAGTAAACTATATTTTATGTAGGAAGGATGAGAGAGATACAAACAAATGTGTGTATACGTGTAGGTGTGTATATATATGTGGGGGGTATATAAGTAAATGTAAGTATGTATGTTTTCTTGCATTTACAAATAGAAACACTAATAAAATGGTTATTTACAGGCAAAGAAAGGGAATAGGGAGGGGCTAAGTTGGAAGTAAATGTTATCTTAATATATTTTGTTATACAGCTTTCACACTTTGGAATCATGTAAATGTTTTACATATCCCTGTGAAATTAATCAAAAGTGCATTGAGGTCAATGAGGGAAGAATAGTCTTTTCAACAAGTAGTGCTGGAACAATTTGATATTCATATGTAAAAGGTCTAAATGTGAGAACTAAGACTATAAAAACTGTAGAAAGAAACACGTGAAAACCTGCATGATGTTGAATTAGGCAACAGTTTCTTAAATGTGATGCCCAAAGCACAAGCAACAAAAGAAAAAATAGGTAAGCTGGACTTCATCAAAATTTATTGAACTTTTGTGTATCAAAGGACACTATGAAGAAAGTGAAAGACAACCTACAGAATGGGAGAAAATATTTGCAAATCCTACTTTTGATAAGGGTCTAATATGCAGAATATATAAAGAACTCTTACAAATGAACAATAAAAAGGTAATATAAAAAATGGGCAAAGGATTTAAACATTTAAATAAATATCTCCAAAGGAGATACATAAATAGTCAATAAGCACATAAAAAGGTGCTCAACATCATTAATCATTAAGGGAATGTAAATCAATACCACACTCAGATACCATTTTACACCCCTAAAAGGGCTATAATGAAAAAAAAAAAAGACAATGACAAATACTGGCAAGAATGTAGAGAAACTGAAACCCTCATACATGGTTGGTGGGAACATAAAATGGTTCAGCAGCTGTGGAAAAGTTTGATAGTTCCCGAAAAAGTTAAACAAAGGATTACCATACGACCCAAGGGTATATATCTAAGAGAATTTAAAATATGTGTTCACACAAAAATTTGTAAATTAATGTTTATAGCAGCATTATCCATAATAACCAAAAAGTGTAAAGACTTCTGGGTATATATCCAAAGGAAATGAAAACACTAATTTGAAAAGATACAGGCACCCCAATGTGCATAGCAGCATTATTTACAATAGCCAAGATATGGAAGCAACCTAAGTGTCCATCAACAGATGAAGGAAGATACATATACATATATATATATACATATATATATATATATATATATGGTGTGTGTGTGTATACATACATAGTATATGGTGTATATATAGTGGAATATTACTCAGCCATAAAAAAGACTCAAATTTTTGCCATGTGCAACCACATGGATGATTAGTAACATAAGTCAGAACAACAAATACTGTATAATATCATTTATATGTGGAATCTAAAAAATAAAACAAACTAGTAAATATAACAAAAAAGAAACAGACTCAGATTTAAAGAACTAGTGGTTATCAGAGGGAAGAGAGAAGTGGGGAGGAGAAAATTAGAAATAGGGGACTAAGAGGTACAAACTACTATGTATAAAATAAATAAGCTACAAGGATATATTGTACAACACAGGGAATATAGCCAATATCTGATAATAACTAAAAATGGAGTATAACCTTTAAAAATTGTGAATTATTATGTTGTACACCTGAAATTTACATAATATTGTACATCAATCAACTACACCTCAATAAAAATAAATAAGTAAAATTTAAAAGTGTAAATAACCCAAATATCTATCAAATGATGATTTTATAAGACAAAGCCTGACAAATGTTGGTTTTCTTCCTTCATTTGAGGTCCATGGACTCCCAAAGATGCTATGAATGAGCTCAGGAGTTAAACAGATTCTCCTGAAATTATATGCAATGTTTAGTATTTATCTGCATTCGTGCATTTCCCTGGTAAGAACATCCCTAGATTTCATAGTGTTCTCAAATAAGTCTGAAATTCCCCCCAAAACGTAAGCAATACTGGTATAATGTAAGCATCACTTTAACAACAGTTTAAAAAAACACACAATTGATTAAGCTTGGCACAATCCAGTACTCTTAGAAAATGAGCCCAACAGGATTTATAAGCCCAACAGGATTATAAAGAAAATGTAACACATGTGCCACTACATAAGGTTTGATTCAAATTAACAGATTCTTTATTTTGCAGAAGCACAAACAAAGATTTTAAAGACTAATTTTTCATCTAATGCTTACTTGAATCACTAATGTTTCTTGCTGCAGACGGGCTTCTTCTTGGGCCTTCTCCAGTGCTGCAGAAAGTTCTTCTTTAGCTCTCATTTCACGACTTAGAGCAGCTTCCTGGGCCTCACTATCCTTTGCAGCATTGGCTTTGTGGAGATCAGTAAGTTCTCTTAAAAAATTAAATAGATGATTTTTAAGTTAAAATAATATAGTTAATTACATGGCCATATTAATGAAGTTTCCAGGTAGATTTCCATGAGATCTACAGAATGAGGAAGAGTTCACCACACAATAAGCAGTGACTACGGTGAGGACTCTCTGTCGAATTTGCTTTAACCAGCCACAAGTTCATATATAGGTAAGTTTATAAACGTTACTAGTGATCAGATAATGGAAAAAGTGTTTCTTCAACATCCTGCTCTGATAACTGATTTTAAACGAGTTGCACATTTGTTCATTTTCTTACTTGTATGCACTATCAAGAGCAGCTTGAATACTTCGGTTCTTTTCTTCAAGTTCATTCATGTCTACTTGAAGTCGGCCAAGATCCTTCTCTTGGCGTTCTACCACAGAATTTAGTTTCTTAATATTTTCTCTATGTTGTTTCTCAACCTCTTCTTTGCCATCAAGGACCTATATTATAAAAACAAAGGTATTTTTCAATAAAAAAACACCACAGGAAATAACTGTATTCCACGAATCTCAAGTATTATAATAACGAAGAAGAATCTTAACATTCACTTCTTTTTTTTTTTGGCCACGCCGCAGGGTATGTGATATCTTAGTTCCCTGACCGGGGACCAAACCGGCGCCCCCTGCAGTGGAAGCGTGGCAGCTTAACCACTGGATTGCCAGGGAAGTCCCAACATTCACTATTAAATTGCTTGGAAAATTCTTCCCAAACGATATACCTCAATAAATCATCCCAAATGTTTTATAAACCCTGGCCATATGTTCATATTGGAAGTAATAACAATATATATATGCAGAGAATGGTTAATATTCACCTGTTTTAAATGTTGTAACTCTTCTTCTAGGTCTTTAACTTTTTTGTTCAGCTTTGCAATAATATTTTCATTTTCTCTGTCTTTAGCTCTTAATTTCTTAATGATGTTAGAATTATGCAGCTGCTGTTTTGAAAGTTTTTCTCCTGGCAATGGCAAAAAAGGATAAATTCAAATAATGATGATTCTCTAAGAATATGAATAGAATGTTTTAACTAACCAGTGACATAAAATGACAGAATATTTGAAACATCACAATGCTGTAACAGTCAATGGTAAACTGATTTGGACAGCATAAGCCATGAATGCTAAAATTACTAGGTAGAAGGATGGTGTGGGAACAGGATATTTACAGTCTTAAAGAATCACTCCCACATATTATAAATTACAAAGGGAAAAAATGTGCTCTTACAATAGAGAAACCTGGTCACCATCTTAACCAAACATTCAGTTTTGATATCACTAATTGTGCTACAGCCTGACATTATGAGTCCACTGATGTGATGGAGTGGTAGGTGCACAATATCACCTATTATATTTCTTACTAGAAATCTGATCTGAATCTAATCATGAAGAAAGTGACAAATTCCTGAACATGGGGCATTCAATGGGACAACTGGACTCTACAAAATCTTTGATACCATGAAAAAGATATCCTAGATTGCTGGAAGACTAAAAGAACATAATGGCCAAATGCAATGAACAAACTTTGATTGGATTTTGGGGCAGAACAAATAACCAGGTATGAGAGTTATTTTTAGAGACAATTGAGATAAATGATGCAATACATGCTGGAATACACTTCTGAATTAATGCTGATTTTCTTAGGTGTGATTATGATGTTGTGCTCGTCAAGAAAAAAGTGTACTTATCCTTGAGAGATGCAGACTGAAGAATTGAGGAGTAGACTACAGATTCAATGCAATTCCTATCAAAATTCCAACAGCATTTTTCACAAAAATAGAAACAACAACCCTAAAAGTCAAATGGAACTGCAAAAGACCTCAAATAGCTGAAGTAAACCTGAGCAAGAACAAAGCTGGAGGTATCACATTTCCTTATTTCAAAACATATTACTAAGCTATAGTAATCAACAGTATGGTACTGGCATAAAAACAAACATATAGGCCAATGGAACAAAATGGAGAGCCCAGAAATAATCCACGTATTTACAGACAAGTGATCTTCAACAAGGATGCCAAGAACACACATGAGGAAAGGACAGTCTCATCAATAAACGGTATTGGGATATGCATATTCAGAAAAATGAAATGGTACCCCATCACACATCATATACAAAAATCAACTCAAAATAGATTAAAGACTTAAATGTAAGATCTGAAACGGTAAAACTATTAGAAGAAAACATAAGGGAAAAGCTTTCTGACATAAGGCTTGGGAGTTATTTTTTGGATATGATTCCAAAAGCATAGGCTACAAAAGCAAAAACAGACGTATGAGATTGCATCAAACTAAAAAACTACTGCACAGCAAAGGAAACAACAAAGTGAAGAGACAGTATGAAGAATGGAAGAAAATATGTGCAAACTACACACTAATAAGAGATTCATAACCAAAATATGTAAGAAATCACAGAACTTGATAGCAAAAAAACAATTAAGCCAATTTTGAAAATGGGCTAAAGACATGAATAGGCATTTCTCAAAAAAGGCATACAAATGGGCAACAGGTATACAAAAAGGTGCTCAACACCACTAACCATCAGGGAAATGCAAATCAACACTAAAATGAGATGTCACCTCACACCTATTGGGACAGCCATTATCAAAAAGACAAAAGATAAATACTGGAGAGGATGTGAAGAGAACCCTTGTGTACTAGTGGTGGCAATGTAAATTGGTACAGCCACTATGGATAACAGTATGAAGACTCCTCAAAAACTTAAAAATAGAACTATCATATGATCCACTGATCCCACTTCTGAATATATATATCCAAAAGTAATGAAATCAGTATCTCAAAGAGATATCTGCACCCCTGTTCACTGCAGCCTTATTTACAATAGCCCAGGTATGGAAACAATCTAAGTTTCCGTCGATGGATAAATGGATAAAGAAAATGCGATACAGACAGATCTATATATACAGATAGATAGATAGATAGACAGATATATAGGTAAGATATAAATATAGATATAGATATAAATATTATTTAGCTTAAAAAAAAATCTTGCCATTTGTGAAAACATGGATGAACCTAGAGGATGAAATAAACCAGACACAAACATGGCATGATCTCATTTATATGTGGAATATAAAAAAGTTGAATTTGTAGAAGCAGAGAACAGAATGGTGGTTACCAAGGGCCAGTGGGTGGCGGAAATGGGGAGATGTTGGTCAAGGAGTACAAAGTTTCAATTATGTAAGATGAATATGTTCTACAGATCTAATTTACAGCATAATGGCTAAAGTTAATAACACTGTATGGAACACCTATAACTTGCTAAGAAGAGTAGATCTTAAAAGTGTTCTCATCACAGACACAAAGTGTGTGAAGTGACTGATACATTAATTAGCTTGATTGTGGTAATCATTTCATAATATATACATATATAAAAAATCACATTGTACTCCTTAAATACATACAACTTTTATTTCTCAATTATACCTCAATAAAGCTGGATAAAAAAAGAATTTAGGAGTGGAATGATATCTGTCACCTACTTTCAAGTGGTTTGGCAAAAGGGTAGTATATGCGTGTGCAGAGAGATACGGAGGAGGTGTGGCTAGATGTTAACAGTTGATGACTCTAGGTAATGAAGTAATCAGTTACTCACTGTAACGCACTCTCAGCTTTGAGACTTTCAGCTCTTCAGCTCTGAGTTAAAAAATACTTTTAGGGTATACAGAAGCAGTATGTGAATATACCCATAGATGAAATCATTCTATTTTCTCTATAAAGAAGTTCATTAAGCAAAAGAAAACATCAGCTCACTCCCTGATTAAATTAGTAAATTCCAACGAAGTGAAATTTGATATTAATATTCTTAATAATTTTTTTTAATTATGAAACCATGTACTTAGCCGTCCCTTCAGTCTCTAATGTTGTAACACAAGACAGTATCTGACTGCAAGATGTCTTGAGATACAATTATGTGTTTCATGTATTTTAGTGCTAAGATTGCTTTATAATTATCAGTGTACCTATATTTCCCTCTCATTAAACTATAAGTTCCTAAAGGACAGGGAATGTGTCATATTTATTACTATATCAAACACAATATCTGACATATTAACTGTTAAATATTAGCTGAATAAATGAAAAAGAAAAATTGGGTAAAACTAACTTTTTCAAATGAAGTGATTATTTCCAATTGTCCTCAAACACTTACTCTGGAAATTCACTTAAGTGCAGTGATTTAAGTACAGAAATGTTCATCCCACTACTATTTGTAATATTAACATTTTAGAAATAAATGTATAACCTTAGGAAGAGTAAAACAAATTATAATATATCCATATAATGGACTTTAACACAGCCATTAATAATGGTATCAAAACATCTAACAGCATAGGGAAATGTAAAAGAAAGAACACTGCGAATTAGATGTATGATCTTAATTATGTTTAAAAATGTAATAAAATACATTAAAAAGGAACTAGAAGAAATTAATATTTCCTTATAAAATTGAATTATGATCTATTTTTTCTCTTTCTTCATATACTTCCTATAACTTCAAAATTTCCTGCAAGTAGCAAGCATTACTCTTATAACTAAAAAACTTTAAGAAAAAGAAAAATTTATTTAACCATCCTTTCCAAAACTACCTTCTTTCCTATGACATTACAGAAAGAAATTAATTCAATGTCCAACTGTAATGTTTTATCTCATGAAGAATCTTTAATTTTCATAACCCTGTTAATTATGAATCTTTTCATAGAGAAAGTACTTAATAACTAAAAAATTAAAACATGAATGTGAGAAAAAATTCACTATCAAATGCCAGAACAATAAAATGATAGCACATAGTACCCAAGCTAGAGATTCAGATACTATATAAACTCCAGAATTATAACTTTCAAATATCTTGGTTTAAATGAGGGCTCTAAAACCTGTTAGAAGCTTTCTTAGGGAAGCACAAAATTCTATTTCTCAAGGTGTTATTTTTTTACCTCCCTAGAAACAAAAAGCTACATACATTATACCTCTACCTCTCTACATCTTGCTCCCCATTCTTCCATGAATTGTTGCCTACCATTTCTGAGGTTTAAGTCCAAACCGTTCTTGCTTCCAATATTTTTTCATTAGGAAGCAGCAGCTAGTCACGTGGTATCTTCCTGTTCTCACAATATTTTTCATAACCAACTAAATATTTTACGTACCTTCTTCCATTAACCCTCGGATCTGCTCATCTTTCTCTTTCAAAAGGTCTGCCGTTTCACTACTATTTAATCTAGTAGCAAGTTCTTCTTTTATACTTTTGATTTCCTAATTAAAAAAGAAAGAATATGAGTAACATAAAGCATTACTCTCATTCTGGGCATATTTTTCAATTTTTTTCCATATCCAAATACTCACATTCTCAATAAGAATCCATAAGTTTTGTACTGTTAACCTGAGTTTATATTACCTTGGTTAATTAAGAGTAAGTGAACAACTTTGAAAATGACATAAACCTGAATTCAGACATAAACAGGTTTTAAGATGGAAATGGAAATGAGAAGAAGTTAACTTACAATACTCTTTTTGAGTATCTCTACACATATTTTCTACAGGTTAAGCATTATTTTTGAAACATTCAATTAGTATATCTCCATTTTTCACTGTATTCCTCTTCCTCATCTGAAACTCACTGCACTTACCAACATGTTGTGAACTGAGAGAAAAAACATAATTTCATAAGGTTCGATCTACTTTAATAAAGCAGAGATTCAGCAGAAACATGTTAAGATATTTTATCTTTTAAAACTACTATGGAGAAGTATGGTGATATGAAAAGTGTCCTATGATTTTAAACTTGGTTTTTATGATGCTCTGAAACTAAAAATAGCTAAAATAAACTAACATTTATTAGGTATTTAAACCATGCTTTGTATCCGTTATCATTTAATCCTTACAACAATCCTGGGAGGGAGGCACTTGTACTATTCAACTACACAAATAAGAAAATTAAGACTAAGAAACCTTGAGTAAATTCTGAAGGTCAGAGAGCTATAAAGTCGTAGAGTTATAACTTAAACCCAGGTCTGTGAATCTTTAAAGCCCATGCTCTGAACTATCCACAACATTGCTGTCCATTTCCAACTGTCAAAATTTCATCCATCAAGGTCCAGTTAAGAATGTCATGTCTTCCATGAAATCTTCCTCAGTTCCTCTGATCAGAATTCATCCTCCATGATACCATTTCAAAGTGCTTATTCAACTGCCTACTACTATACATTTGTTGACATTATTTGCCTCCCAACAGTAGAAAAGCAAACTCTTCACTTAAGGTAATTAAATTCACCTTTGAATTTCCTATGGATCCTAAGCAGGGGGTTCACACATGGCGGTACACATAAAATGTGTTAAAACGTAGGACCCAAGTTTTTTCCAGCTATAATTAATGGTTTAGATCTATTTTAGATCTATAATTCAAAGTGCACTACAGAAGACAGACATTACTTAAAATCTACTTTTTGTACTGTATTCAGATGGAATAGAGCAAGAACACGAAGAGTTAAGTTGGTTAGATAGTCTCAGGTTATTATCAGTGTCTAAAATGATACTAATTAAAGTTGCTAATTAAACCAACCAAGCAGATAGAAGTATATCATATTTCTTTTCTGTAAGAATATATAGAGAAAAATTATAAATATTAACATTGACATTCATCAAGAAGGGGGAAAACAACCTCAGAAGGGGAAATACTGAGAAATGCTATAATTCTTGGGATACAAGCAATAATTACTAACCTTAATTGGTTACCAATATCTGAAACAGCCAACTGTTCCAAATTACAAGAATTAGAACAAATAGTTCTCAATCCGGAGCAATTTTGTTCCCAAGGGGACATCTGGCAATGTGTGGCAACATTTTCAATTATCACAACTGAGGGGGGATTAGGTTGGGGTTGAGGAGGGAAGGGTGATACTGGCATCTTGTAGGTAGGGGCCTGGGATGCTGGTAAATACCCTACAATGCACAGGACAGTCCCATACAATATAAAATTATCCAGCCCCAAATGGCAGTAGTGCTGAGGTTGAGAAATCCTACATTAGAATAAATCAACATTTTATTCTAATATTCAATGTCACTAATCATTAGGAATTTTTATTTTAAAATTACTTTGACTTGAAGGAGTATAGATATGTGTGTGTGTGTGTGTGTGTGT